TGTTGGATTGGGCTTCTATCATCTATAGAGGAGAGGATAGCGGAAGATTATGCGATCTGAATGAGTTGAAGGGGCGATGGGCGGAGTCGCGCCGCCTCAAATGGGCGGCGCGACCCCGCCCATCGCGCCAAACGACATACACCCAACTGAAACAGATACGCACCCGCACGCGGGTGGCGGAGGATGCTCCTTGATGCCTTTCGCTGGCTGCTTTCATAGTCTGCCGGCCGGCAAACAAGCGCGCGCGCCGGCCGGGGAACTATGAAAGCAGCCGCTGTGTAGCACTCATTTGCCCTCCCCTCTTTCCCACCACCAATTACGCTTTCACAGGTCAGCTCTCTACCACCCCCATTCATGACTAGAATAAGAGTTCGTAAAATTGCTCTCACATAGTCTCCGAAAATGGTGAGGAGCACAAAGGCATATGTCCAATTTATTGCCTACCTTTTTAAATTGATAAAAGCCACAAACTTTGTGAGGAGGTCAGACTCTTTACTATCGTGAAGTGTTAAATTATCGCTTTTCTTTCTTTTAACGTGAGTACGGCTTATTTGGAGGGTCACGCGATGAACGCCCCAGTGGATGCCGATCAGACGCCAGAAGGAGCGCTGGCCAACCGAGCCAATCAGGCAAGGACGCGCAAGGCTCACATCTTGTCCAGCACTCCGCTGTGGTAGATCGTAGAGACATAAAGCACGGCTTTGTCAGTCTCTTCGTCTTCCTTGTCTGCTTCATCGCTCTATCGTTCTACAATGATTCCGGCTTGCTGTACAACTTATCTTTGATTATCTGAGTTTCCTTATGGTTCATTTTCAACACTGTCAAATCACTAGCTTTTTTCTTTTCATTAATTCAATGTGTCTGCTTTGATTTCCATAATAAAAGAATGTTGCTTCACTCTCAAGATGAGAGCCACAAAAAATCTTAGCAAAAAGCTTTCTACAGATGCCGAAACATCATATAGATAGAAGTGAATTGAAGTTACAAAACTAGATAACACGCACATTCAATCAAGTGACTTTATGTCTGCTTTCATAGTCCGCCGGCCGGGGGCGGCGCTTGCCACTTGTTTACAACTGAATCTTGTTCGATACCGCAGGTCGAGTAGTCCCCTTACTGCGGACTATGAAAGCAGCCATAGGTGCCTCCCCCCCCCCGCGTTATGAGCTCCTTCCTCGTTATATGAGAACTCGAGAAAATTAACCCTCTTTGCATTTTTTACAACCTTCTTAAGCGACTTCACGACCACAATTTCTCGGAATCAACCTAAAACATATCGAAGTCCTCTGAAAGTGAATAATCCATAGACAAAAAGGGTTTTTCTGACTGCTATTAGATGAAAAACGTCAATACTACTAAAGCAGCTTCCTCATATGGCAGTAGGCAAAGAACTGACATGTAGAAATAAAATGGAGGTCGTTATCCAAAAAAGTTTTGAAAAATGTTAAAAGTAGACGCACATCTAGCCCATGAGCAATTCCCAGAAGCCGTTTAGTCTTCAGTAGCCTACTATGGAATTGTGCCCTTCTCTCCAACAATTCTGTACCGCTTCTTCTCTGAATTCTAAAATAATTAACACCTTTATAATTGAATAATGACGTGCACTTTTCGACTAATAAAAATTTTTATTAGTACATCCGCACGAAGACAAAAAATAAGAAAAAAAAAAAAGAAAACATCACATCCACCGATAATGTTGGAAAAGACAAATGAGGACTTCATGACAATGATATTCAGGGCGACCACAACGGAGAAAAACTATAACCTTTATAATGAAAATAGAGCATGCTTGATTGCCGCCCCTTGTTATGTTCATTTTCAAATGCCCTCAATTGTCAATAACGAGGCATTATCTAGTCGATCATCACAATGGAGCCCGATCGGTAAAGTTAACAAGTGGGATAAATTGCGGTGTTAAACTATATGCACGAAAAAAAGGCGCATCAGAGAGAAGTATTCTGCGTCCAGTTATTGTCCGAATACCATGTTATTCGGTAACATACAGAGACATACACACATCGTAGAATGGAGCCAGAAGCAGGCAGCATACGTTACCAATAATATTAATATTATAACAATAACGTACATACGATCAAAAAACGTTTATGGTAACGATGAGTGAATGTGACTTATGATTTTGACAGTTGATTCGAAAGCCAATCCAAACCTTCATACAATCCGTGTCCTTGCGTAGCACATGTTGCTTGGATGTACCACTACAAATAATTATAAATAAGAACACCATCAAAAATTACCGCATCAGCAATAAGGTGAAAAACAGTGATCTTCATTTGCGGGCGTGATTGTGTGAAGAATGTGAACGATGTGCTCGCTGAGTTTTAAACCGCGAAGTTGCAGACGAATGCTTTATTTTAGAAGCAAAGAGGGACTTTTCTGTTCCCGATATGCACAGACATGTGACGTGAGGTGCAGGGACGTAAGAACGAAAGTTCGCGGCCCGTTAGCTTAGTTCAGGTGACAAAGGTTTGCAGACCTAGCCACATTATGAAGCATTAGCATTGTATCTAAGTCAGCCATTGTTTCATGAATAGTAAAACTGCGACCTTTATTTAGAAGTTTGCCGTTGCCCCATTCATTGTCAATGTTACCAGAACAATTCAAGGCGTGATTTTCAATTGTTATTTCAGAAAATACCGAAAAATAGTAAAGTCAGCAAGCGATTCAATGCTGCGAACTAGGTAAGTAGAACAAATAGAGCAGAAAAGCCAAGAAACCCGCTACCTAAGATTGTAATAAATCAAACATAACTGTGAAATTCGAAACGGAAGGTGATCCTCAGTTTTATAAACGACTAATCGAAAAACTTTGAGACTAATACTTTCGAAGTTTGTTCCCTCAAACTAGCAATTTTAGCAAGATGATCCCTTGACAAGTTCGGAATCGCTGGGAGCACTGACTTTATGATTTCACATCAAAATGAAGCAAATCCGTCATTCACAAGGAATGTCATAAAAGCCGTTCTGTACAAGGAAATATTCCTTGAATATCAGGAGTAAGATTTTACTTGATAAACGGCACGTTAACCGTAAGACTCAATACCGAACCTGTCGTGAGCGCAGATTGTGTAGACCCAATTTGTCCGTCAATTCAGCAGCACTCATAGCATTGGGGAGGTCCTAAACAGAACGTTGACCACTAATTGATGAATTAAGCAAGCATCGACTTGACAAATGCAAAACCACGCAATGCTAATATGAAAAAAAACCAACCTGTTTGTTAGCGAACACAAGAAGGGTTGCATCCCTGAGCTCGTCTTCATTGAGCATCTTGTGAAGTTCTTCACGAGACTCTTCAATTCGCTCACGATCATTGGAATCTACCTACAAACAATATCAAGGTAGGTGTGAAAGACGGGCACCGGCGCAGAACTCACCCTATCGACAATTGATGAGATTGCATAAAATACACACACACGAAATAAACCACCCTTACCACAGATATCCCTCGAAAATGGATGAACCTTACCACAAAAATTAATCCCTGAGTGTTCTGGAAGTAATGCCTCCACAAGGGACGGATCTTATCTTGACCTCCAACGTCCCACACCGTAAAGGAAATGTTCTTGTATTCGACTGTTTCCACATTGAATCCTGTTCATTCACTTAGTATAATGGCAGCTTGATAGTATAATTAGATCCAAACTTTCTCTTGGGCCATATAAAAAATGACAGATCTTACCAATAGTCGGAATTGTGGTCACAATCTCTCCGAGTTTGAGCTTGTACAGGATGGTTGTTTTACCTGCTGCATCGAGGCCGACCATCAGAATTCGAACCTAAAACCGAAAAATGATCCTACGACGACACAATATGTCTGTCTTGACTTCTTCCTCACTGCTCACTGCCCCGATTATTGTTCGCAAATTTGGTTACTTACGATATTCACGACAGCCAAGTTTCTTTTCTACAATAATCTGAAAGCGAACTACGATATTCGATGTCAAACACCGCTAGTAGTCCCTTCACTGTTCTACAAAAGTCATCTTGACTTCGAAGTGGATAAGTTCGAACATGCTGTTCTGACGCACTAGTGAAAAAACTACCCATTCACTTCACCACAACGAGTAAGGACTCCTGATTAACATCAAACAGGATAAGCACAGAAGAAAGAAAACTAATCTAAGGTCCCCAAAAGAAAAGAGAGAGGTTCGGTAGAGAACATACATACGCTGAGAAAATCATGAAGAAACAGCAGTATCTAGACAGTTTCATCGAAGGAAACTAAATGACAAGGAGCCGCATGGATAAAGAGACCTTCAAAGCACTCATCACTCGAAGAAAACGTAGACGATGAGGCTGCTACAACGGTAGGTGTTGACAAGACGGATTTAATCGTCCCGCGAATGTGTAACACAGTAACCCGAACACACGCTGAAGCGCCTCTAAACACTCGTTACATATACAACGCAAAGCAAAGGTACCCCAGGTGAAGCCCACGGGGTGGGTAGTGAGGTACTAGGGGGTTGCTGTGTCACACGTGCACGGGACGTTAAAATCTCTCTAATTAGATGTTGCACTGCAGCCAAACAGTTACCTATTCTCACTAAGACGATTTAGAGTAAGAAAGAGCATAACACATCCTTCTTAGATTCGTTGGTTGGCGTTGGAAGGGTCATCGAATAAAAAAAAAACGGTTCCGAAAAACTGGCTTGTTATCGAATGTTCACCTGTTAATCGCTGACCTTGGGTCTAATATTAAAAACCAATGCAACTGCATTTTGCCACATTCGGTATCGCGCCTATAACACCAGGTTGCAAACAACACTTCAAGTTCTGAGACGGAGGTTCAGAACATCCAATTTGATTGAGCACAAATCTATCAAAACTGATATCCCATATACTATTTCCCAAGTCTTGTAGTGGAGCTTACTGCCCACTGCCTATGTGCTTTAGTGTTCAGCGCACAACCTAAAAATCAGATTTGCTCGAAACCACAAACAGTGACTACCGTTGCTAAACCCCCATCCAACGAGTTGACCAAGTGCTGTTGGTTCAATCAATAACATCTTCACATGGAACAAACGGTCAAGAAGTATCTTTGGCGAGGAATCTAGGTCAATGACCTACAAACCAATGTTATTGTAACACAGACCATACCTGTTTCTTTCCAAACAGCCTATTGAAAAGTGAGGAGATGGTCAACCCCATGATGAGTTGCAGTCACCTGTAGATGAAAATCAGAAAATCGAAATGAATGAATTAAGAAAGCCTCGACATTGCCAAAGTGTACAAACACCTAGTTCCTCGCACAAGAATTCGGACGAGTAACCTAGAAACCAATGATAGCCAAACGACATATGAACCCTATTAGCTGATAAAACGACTATCCAATAGACTTGAAGATTATGGCCGCATTTCGACGATGATGATACATGCAATGCCTGGAAAACGCCGAATCAACACGTGTATGTTCGATCGCCATCGGTCGTGGCGGGACCATAATGCATTGGCGCCATCTTATCCTTCAATATCACGACGGCAACTGAGGAACCTGGTCTGATCGTACTGTTAGCTTTAAGAAATGGAGTGGAGCTTTGGCGAATAGAATATTAGAATTGGGGATGGAAATGTAGTTGTGGGAACGTCGTTCAACGCTTATTTGTTCAAGCCACTTTATAATATTTTTACTAGGAAACTATCCGGATCGATTCCAACTCAGGCTAATCAATCCTTAGGTAGCAGGGGGACAAAGGACTAGTCCTCCCTAATCCACAGGAGCTAAGGAGATAGCATTAGCAACATGAGCACTTGCTCGAGTCAGGATCCATGGCCAAATTACTGTAAGAGCCGAGTGCCCATACTGAGCCTTCGTTTCCGCGTAACTGAACGTACAAATAAGATATCATGTTCATGGATGCAGTATCAGTAGTGAATATTGTCGTTATACATCCACAAATAAATAATCGAAATACTGTTTAATTCAATGTAAACAAAATAAAAATAAGTTTGAGAACAACTAGGTAAAGATGCATATGAAATCAATGACAACCTGCTCCCCTCCTCCCGTTCCATTTACACTCCTTAGAAATATGCCTCCGAAGCAAAATGCAGAAAACAAGAGGGGATAGAGTAAGGAGGCTAAAATAGGGCACTTCATCGAAAATGCATGGGACATGTAGATCTCATCCGGACGGCTCTCCCAGCATCCTACTACTAATTTCCAACCACCCATGGACTACAATCAGAATTTTCGAGGTAGGCCCGTATTTATCCATAATTTTGCAGCGATTTCGCCATAATCTAGTGTTGATAACCTTGCAAATTAGAAAGGTTCTCGAATTAATAGCGCTTACATTCCAAATACTCATCCTGTCACATGCGTATGGTGGGAAAAAACCGTGCTGCATCGAGTTGTTCTTATCATATTTCTCGATTCATCAACAGTGCTGGAAACTACAAAAATTCACCCCACTTTTCGTGCCATCCTACCTATATAATCAGCTCAGTGTGCCTGTTGGTATATACATATGTATGTAGTAATGGTCAAAAGTTTGGAAAATTTTTAATTTCTTGGATAGCGCGGCCAGTTGAGATCGTAATTATCTCAAAGTTACATATTAGATATAAAATCATGTGGGAAATATGGCATGTCATGTTGTTACGAAAATCAAAAGTCTGATTCCCAAAATAAGAAAAATTCGAGAACAGCGCGTCAAAAGTTTGGAAACTCGCTACCTGCCATATCGTTT